GGCCAGACAACTGCAGGGACTGGCTGTGACCACTGACCACCGACCTCCACCCTCTGTGAAGGATAAGCTGTGCAGGGATAGTGTGGTAGGGCTCTGACATGGTCTGACGTGGGTATCTGTCCACCACATCAGACTATGGGGTTTCCTGGGTGGTGCAGGCCAAGGTCAGCCCCTACCTTCATTTTGCCCTGGGCCGCCCTGCATGAGCTACAAAGCAGCCTGCAGATGGCTGCTACTTGTGCTTGGCTTGAGGTTCCCTGATGAAGCCAAGCTGTGAACATTTGCTGGCTTCTGCTAATGCTGGTCCTGGGGCCACTTAGCCAGAGGTATGGAGGTTGGGGGCCCATTGTGGCTGGTGTTGCTTGTTTGAGAGAATTTAAGAAGCTATGAAGCCTGTGTGGAGACCAGCCATTCATATGGAAAAGCCAGCATAGGTGGGCATGTAAAATGAGTGGGGAAGAGCCTTAGGGAATCACCCAGGCGGAGCAAACAGTGTTAGCCAGGTTGATGGTTTCACAAAGGCCACCACCTACGTGACAGCTCTGTGGCTCTGTGTGGGGAGGGTTCAGAAAAAGAACAATGGCCTCTTCCTGCCTTTATGTCTGGGAGAATACTGTTCCACAGCTCTCACCTTGGTGCCAGCTACTTCAGTTCCTCCACATGTGCCACTGTTGCCCTTCAGGCTGCTACACTGCTGGTGGAGCTCAGACAGAGTAAGTTTGAGTAAGTCCATGTGTAGGTTCTTTAAGAAGAATTGCTTGGGAATCCAGCAGTTTCTTCCACTGACTCATCCCCACTGGTTTTTGCAACCAGATGTTATGGGGACTTATTTTCCTGACACTAGAACCCTGGGCTGGGGAGCCTGGTGTTGGACTGGGGCTGCTCACTGACAAGATATTCCTCCCAAATTTTTATCCACCACACACGCTTGCTTTGTGTCTCTGCATCTCTGCCCCTCCTACCAATCTGGATGGATGGGTTTTATTTGATTCAGTAGTTGTCAGACTTCCATTCGACGCTATTTCTGACGGTTCCAAGTGATGGTTGTTCTATAGTTTAGTTGTGTATTTGATGTGGTTGTGCAAGGAGGTGAGCTGTGTTAACCTACTCCTCCATCTTGACTGGACTGAATTTGCTATTTCCTCTTTAGTTACAGATATATTTTTTTCTGGCTCTATGTTAATGCTGAAGACTCAAAATTGGCTAATATGAGAGAATCTTACTTAAAATCTAGAAATTTAAAATAAATTTAAAATAAATTGAGTTTATTTTTCCACTTATGAAAATTTAAATAGCAAGCTATAATTTACAGAAACATTTTTACATGTTCAATATATTTATTTCTTATATTTATAAGCACTCTGTGTGTTGGATACCATTATGTCTATTTTTTTATATGTGAAGTATTGAGGCTCTGGGAAAATTGCATAAAATCATTTTCTGACATAAAATCACAAAACAAATGTATGACATGACCAGAATTTGAATTCAGGTCTTTTAAAAGCAAATTATATATTATTCTCATGTATTTCTCCTCTATCCTAATTTTATTTGTTCACTATGATAAAAATGAAAAGCAGGTGTTTAATGACAAGCTTGTCCAATTATCTGTAGATGAGCAAGTTTTTATGATGAATAATATGATGTGAAGATATTTTCATTGTATCCACAGAATGGATTCCATCGAACAAAGAGAGGTTTGATGAAGTTCAAACACCTAGAGAGGGGTAGAAGAATACATTTTATTGTCGCTCTGGCTTCAGAAATTTTAGCTAAAGAAATCAGAGCAATTTCATATAGTCGTACTGCATAGCTGCTGAGAACTTGCATCACATCCCTGAATTTCCTCAAGCAGCTAATTACTTGGAGGAAGGAAGGAGGTGAAGATGAGCATCCCCCGTGGAATCTGCTCTTGGACTGTACACCTTCTCCTCAGCCCACCGAGGTACTAGACACTGGCATTTCCCCGGAGAGGCCATGTCACCTCTGATATTGAGGGCCATCACAGTAACAACAACAACAACAAAAAAAATCAGATTGAAGGAACACTATAAAGAGAGGCCGAAATCCACACAGCAGACCTACAGAGGTAAAGTGAAATCCCCTCACCAGGTACCTGAAGATACTTGTGCTTATCAAGGGTGTCTTGTCTTGATGCTAACTTAATCTGTATCTGTCAAATAGTCCTAGACATCTCTTTCCGTTCATCATGATTCTCTCTCCCATGGCATTCCAGGGGGAGAGTTCTCACTTCTCAAAGCATCCCCAAACTCAATCTCCTCACTGATTCTTCTTAGACGCCCAAAGGGTGTCTTAGTACAACGGGATTTCCACCTGATGCTCTATCAGCTCCTTCTTATTTTCCAGAGGGAATCCCTTGATTCTCTTTCTCAGCTACATTAATTGTAGTGTAGTTTTCCTTAAAGTATTCCTACACAACCATAACCATTTCTGCTCCAGAAAATAAGAATTATCTAAAGATAGAGAAGGAACACATTAGGGGGTGTTTTTTTGGTGCATAATATGAATTAAAATTTGTTGGTTTTTTTTTTGTCTTGCTTTTTTAGTAGTTTAATATTGTTGGATGTCAGTATAGCTTTAAGCAGGAGGCCTCCGTAGCTGTATTTTCCCTGTTCTGTCCTATCCAATGTTACTGTATCATTGACTTTCACTTATTGCAAATCCCTTTCTCTATTTATGAGTGCATTTCACAGTGTGCCTTTAAATACTCATTATTTAGTCTCTAATACCCAAGAGGTTGCTTTTCTCTTGAACAATAAGGGTACTTGAGGTGAAGGGGAATGCTTCTGAGACAAGGGTTGCCATATTTAGGGAAAAAAAAGTGCAGTCTATCATTTAAATTTGAATTTCAGATAGGCAACAAATATTCTTTTAATATAAGTATGTCCCAAATATTATATACTTATTTATGGGACATACTTATGCTATATGTAATATTATACTAAAAATTATTAGACTATTATACTAAAAATAATCCATTGTTTATCTGAAATTCAAGTTTAACTGAGTGTTTTATATTTTTTCTGGCATCCTACCTGAGGGCAGTTTTCAGATTCCACAGAGCTGGACGATGGCAGAATAAACAACACATTTTTAAACTTTACAGTAAGTAGAGGGGGAGGAGTGGTGGTTTTTCCCATAAGACATGGCAAAAGGAAGAGGTATTAGTTCAAATATGTATATCCCCTCAGGACTGACCGACTCTGCCACCTCAGAATCAGAGTGGATGATAAGATATAGCTATTTAATACTGTTTTATAAATCATTGTTTGAAGCTACTCCTGGCTTGTTTTGGGAGGCATTCATTTTAATTAATTGCTCTTCCTTTGTATTTCCTCCCTGAGATGATTGTCTAATATCTTAAACTCTGAATCTAAACAGTAAACCCCTGAGTCTATTTAAATACTGACATTAAACAATTTTTGAGGATTGCAGTTATCTTTAATGGAGTAGATGATGATACAATAGAGATGAATGATCATTGCAATTGGAATCCATAAAAATGAAAAATAAGAATACTTCTCCGAAGTGTTAAACACAACCTCAGAGCCTGTTGTCCATCAGCCATGCCTAAAGGTCCAGCCAAGGGTTCGTGTAACTAGTGTTGGTGAGAGTTCAAATTAGTCATGTAATCAACCCATTTCTGAATGTCAAACTGAAATCCTAATAGGCTCTAAAACTAACCTGATTACAAGTCTAGGGTATTGAGGTCAACAATTTTCAAATAGTTGGATAAATTCTTTGATAAATGTAGTCTATTGCCATGTACCACAGCTGCACTGCTATCCGTTGGTCTTAATTTTTAGAAATGAGAATTTAGGTCCTACTCCCATTCCAACTCTTCTCATTTAAAAAAAATTGACACTGTTTGGGCTTACGGTAGGGGAAAAGGGGATCCATAACAGCTTTGTTAAGAGTTGCCTCAAATTCTATAATGGAGTGGTAGGTTAAAGATGGCTAAAAATCCTTTGCTCTTCTTCACACTAAAAAGTGAACAATTTCCTTCCCTTTGAACCTGGGTTGGCCTTAGTGACTTGCTTGATCAATACAATGCAGCACAAGTGACATGCTGGGAGTTCAGAGACAATTTTAAAGAAGCCTTTTGACTTTCACCCAGGCCTCTTGAAATGCTTTGAGAATCTAGAGTTACTTTGTATTATCTGAGACCATGTGGCTGGGGAAGCCACATGTAGGCCCTCTTGTAGGCGGCTCCAGTAGAGTTCAACCTTCTGGCCATCTTCATCCACGCAGATGTATAAGTGAAGTTGCCTTGGGCCTTGATACCAGCCTAGCTACCTGCTGCATACTACCAAGGAACCTATTATCGATGCTCCAGGGAACAGAAGCACTGCCCAGCCCAGCCCTGCTGGAATTCCTGACTCCTGAAATTGTAATATAATAAAATGGCTGCTATTTTAAGGCACTGAATTTTGGAGTAGTTCTTTGAGCTGCAACAGATAATCAGAACAAATAGTGTTGTATTAATCTTCACACTTAAGAACAGAACGAGGTGGAAGAAAAGAAGGGTGGGATGAATACAGAAGGTAAAGGGAGAGGAGTGTAATAAAATCCCCCCCCCCCGCCCCAGAATATAATTGCCATGGACATGAATAAAAGAAGGGCTGGAGCTTTAGAAGACCACAGCAAGTTTTAAAAGAGTCCCAAATTTTTGTCAGGCTGCTACTATGATTTTGGGCCACACTCACAAGTTTGACCCAATTTCTTAGAGATTCAGAGGGAAAGCAGCAGTAAAGTCTTACCTCATGCAGATGCCATGAACAGTAATGAATAAACATGACAAATAAATATGCTGCAGATAAGAGCTGAAAATGCTAAATATGTAAAAAGCAATCTTTGCATCTACTGAAAAATCTTTCATCAGATGATTTCAAATTGAAGGTGTCTCAGGAGAAAATAACTTTGAAAATACAAACAGATTTTTATTTTTTGTACTTTTATTGAAAAGGTACATTTAAAAAAATACACAGACATTTTACCATTTACGGACTGCAGGTACAGATACTCAAAAAGAGTTCACTCTGTTTTGCTGTGTTATGATACCTCTTGCCCCGATCACAAACATTCCAGTCTTGTGATATCAGCTTAGAAATGGGGCCTGGGAGCGCGACCTGCAACGTATTCAGTGAACAGAAAGACAAATTTTTCAGTTATAAATTTTTTATCTTCTGTACATTATTGCATTAGGGAGCCACAAGATTATGTAGCATCATTACAAATGAAAACAGGTTAAAAACGAAGAAGATAATTACATAGAAATACATGGATTCATTGTCTTCTTGCAGAATGCACGAGAGGTGCAAAAATGTGCAATTTAGGAAGCTCTGTTCTGTTTGTATACATTTGCTTAGCAACTCATACTGGTGAGGAAGCTACAAAATAAGTTAAACAAAAATAGCAAACAGGTAGAAATTATATCTATGTTATATGGCTTTCTATTTCATTTAAATATCACCAAATAAAATAGAATATAAAGAAAAATACATTATTTTTGTTCTCTTAACGAGAACATTGAAAGCTACTTTGCTTCCTAACATTTACACAGCAACTAAAAATGTTTAATTCAGACGAGAGATACAGATCTAGTACTACACAGGATACAACAGTACTTGGGTCTAAAACAGTACACAATCCCTGTCAACAATAGTACACCAAAAAGAAAATGTTGTGATCCATTGGTAAGATGGTATCCACAAGCAAGCACTTGTGTTCATCTATTTTTGTTCCACACTAGAATGTGCCCAGTTGGAATCCAGAGTTATTTACAGACATGTGAGGAAGACCCTATATTTCAAGTCTGTCAGGAAAATATTCCGTATTTTTTCTAAGCCAAATCACACTCATGGAAAAAATAGAGAATGGTGTATGTATATATATTTTTTCTGACCAATACATTTGCAAGAAACCGAGTATCTCAGGTACACAAATTGAATGGGGCAGGCCAGGGAAGGGAAGAGAAGAGGGAAGTCAAGCCTGTGCTGCCCGGATTCCTAAATGACAGGGGTGGTTCCTGAAAGCACTCTTGAACCTAGTGATGATGTGTTCTCCTTTGGAGCCGGCTCACAGTTTGTGGCTGGGTGGGGGCACTGCAACACAAAATGCTTGAAGGGCTGAATCCTTTTGGCTTTCCTGCTCAGCTTTACTACTTACTGGCCTCAGCCGACTCGGGCTTGCAGACTCAGTAGGGAGCGAAGAGGATGGAGGCGGGCGCCGCGCGGATGGGCCCGTGGCCCGGCCGCAGCAGCGCAGGCGGTAGGGCTGGGGCCTGGAAGAGCGAGGCCGACGGCCGCGGCGGCAGCGACAGCGCCGAGGACACGGCGGCGGCCGCCAGGGGCGAGGACAGAAAGGCCGGGGCCAGAGGCTTCATCATATCTTTCTGGAATGCAAGTTTTGCCTAAAGGAGGAAAAAAACCAGGAAAGGGGTGGGGATATTGTTTTGAATGAGCCCCACAGATGTACTTTCATAAGACAACCAACATTAAAAAGTCAAATTTAAAAGAGTTTTCCTCTCAGACGTCAAGAAGAGATTATTTTCACAAAGCTGATTTCAAAGGCTGCTGGCATACCTTTACTTTGATGTGTGTCCATTTCAACTCTTTTTTTTGGTGGTCTTTGCCCTTGGGCACTAGGACACAGGAAAGCCTCTCTGAATAGACCCTAAATCTATTTCCTACTTCTGCTCAGAAAGAAAAAACAAACATCCCCAGAAGATTTCCTGCTTAGACAACGGAGCTCAATTCAAAATTCTGACTTCTCTTAAACCACAATGTAGCCTTGCAAGAGTGTTTACATTTTTTTGAAGAATATTCATGACCCTTCAGACCCTTCACCTCACTTCTTGTCCAAAAGCTGCGTTGGGATCGGTGGCTGGGGTTCTGGACGTTAGGAACCCACAAAGAGTCATGAAAACAAAGTCAGTTCACACTCCTCTCTCTGGCCCCTTAACCAGCATTCCTGGAGAAACTGCAGCTAACTCAAATGTCTTTCACTGGGAATCACTGCAGGTGGGCTAGTGACTTCCTGTGTAAAGGAATCCCAGGGTGGAATCTTCCTGTGAAGTAAGAAATTGATCCTTAATGTCTGCACCGCAATCAGGAAGCGTTTTGCAAGCTGTATTTGCTTAATGCAGGTTACACTCTTTCCAGCATCAGATGCAGGTTCTACAGAAACTGGAAGATAAGAACCCTCAGTATCACCTCCAGCTGGCCACTCCCAGCTTCAACCTCACAAGGAATGTCAGGCTGGGGTCCCAGGGAGATTATGAAATCCATTCATCTGCGTATTTATGTGACACCTATCGCTGACATCCTTGCGTATTTTTGCAAAGAAACTGAAAACAGAGCAGGTGAGACAGGCTGATTACCAACATGCCTACTAGACAAGGAAAGAGGGCAGCACATGCACCTACTTTACTTTCTGGAGAAATTTGGGAAGAGGGGAAGGTAAAGGGAGGGAGGGGAGAGGAGATGGGAGGGAGGAAGGAGGGAAGGGGAGCGGGGAGAGGAAAAGGGAGAGAAAGGGGGAGAGGAAAAGGGAGAGAAAGAAGGGAGGAAGACATTAAATGAATGAATTTTTGCTTTCTGAAAGCAATCCCTTTTCCCAGGTTCAACAGTCATCACTTTCCTTGTTCTTGAGACTTTAGTTTTCTTTATGTGCCAAAGAAAGTAGCCTTTTAAATGTTCGTGATAAAGGGTAGGTTATTAGCTATTTAAGAGGTTCCGCTTCTCTTCTCTAAGGAAGCTTTCTTCAAGGTGCCCTACAGCAGGAACTAAGCAGTTCATTTTAAAACTTCTGTCTATGCGGGCTATTTAAGTTCCATACCTTCCAGGACCAATTAGTCTCTAGGCTCTCTTTACCCAGAGAAGCTGCCCAAGGACAGCAAGGCTGCCCCACAGAACAGGAACAGGCAAGGTGAACTTACTGCTAAAATGCTTGGGCTCCGCTGGAGTTTGTTGTAAGGGCTGTACTTCGGCTTCAGTGGTTTTCCTGCAACCCGATCCTTATGCCTTCGGCTAGAAATGTGCTGAAAAAAGTTTGATGTGTTAGCTGAATCTAAATGTGAGTTTTATTCCATGTAAAATATATTTCCTAGATAGAGGTAGCTGGTTTCACCATGATTTATGAGGCTTTAATACCAGAGGTAGCTGGACCCAGTTCTAGGTACAAGTTTCAAGTAGTGTCATTACCAGTGGATGAGCCCCGTACCCTCAGCCTGCCCCTTATTGTTCTCAGTGAGCCAGGTGCCCGATGCTCGCCCAAACTGTGCCAAACTACAGGGAGGAGGAGGTTCCTCTTTGTGGGTGGGGTGCAGAGCCCGCCATCTCAGAGGCCGAGGCTCAGCTGATTGCTGCAGAGGACCATCCAGCTGCCTGGCACCGCAGCCATGTGACTGCCCGGCCCAGAGGTGGCGGGAACACTGGCGGACAGCATGAGCAGTGAGCCTCTGCCAGTGAATGCGGTGGTGAGGCCCGTTACAGCGGCGGGTTCGCCTGGAGATGGCGGAGACACTGCAGGCACTGTGCCGAAGCCCAGAAAGCAGGGAAGCTGGAAGCCTAGGGATGCAGCGGAGCCCGGGGAGGCTCCCCCATTGGCTGGAATGGCCACAGGGGGAGGTTCTCACGCTGAGGGTGTAGAAATCCCTTCCTTCCACCTCCTCAGCACCAGATTAGGGGTGGGACCAGGGGAAGGCAGGCAAATGCTCCACAGATATCAAAATGGTGGCAGGGGGAGGTGCTGGACCAAAGAGGCCTGCCAGTCTAGCCTAGGGAAAGGAATGAGTAGTTGGGAGGTGCACGCAAAAGTTTGGGTACTTGATTGGTCATTTTAAGAAAGCATCTGGTCCATCCCACACCCAAGCTAATATAAACCCAGGAGAACAGAGAAGGCTCTCTCTCTTGCTTGTGGTTTGCTGGCTCTGACCTGCACTCAGATGGTGTACTGGCCTATTCTCTCCATGGTCCGCATGGCCTTAGTAGCCATGTGGCCCCATGATCTCCAGGACGGAGTCTCTCTTGCTCTTCACCTACCCGGTGATGCATAGGTTATGCACATGCGCTCTCCACCCCAGGAGTATGTGACCTCGCGGCCCTAGCAGCTGCATGGCCTGTGACCATGACGTCCACATGCAGACTCCAGGAGGGAGCCTGAAATGGTCAGCAGCCAGGAACAAGCTAAGCTATCTGGATGGCCACTTAGCAGCCACCTGTGGGCTCCAAAGGACGGTACTTTAAAATGTAGCAGGAACTCTGGGCACTGCCTTTTGTTTTAGTTTTGCTGAAGATGGTTGGACTTTGTCTTGGTTTTGCAGAAGAGATGAGCTTTGAGGTGGGGAGTGTGTAATTCTCCCAGATCATGCAGCATCTAAATAAAACCTCTTCCCTTTTTCAACAGCAATGTCCTCACAGGTTTGGCTTTTGTGGCAACAGGCAGAAAACCCCTCTGTTTTGTTTGGTTACAGTGTTGGTAAAATCACCCTGCACTCTAAGTTAAGATTTGGCCTCCACTCAGTTGTACTGCCTCTCTCCCCTTCCTCTTTATAGCTTTTATCTGACTTTGCCTGGGACTGCCACTGTGACTGCTGAGTCTGCCTCCCTCACCAGGTTTTGGACCCTTGGGCTGTCAGCTGAACATCTCACTTATCTTCCAGAAGTTCCTGCTTGACTGGAAGCTCCAGGTGACTGCTGTGCTCATCAGTCCTAATACCTATCCTGGAATTTGACATATAGTAATAATAGGTGTGCAAATATTTGGTATGGACTTTTTCTTCCACAGATCACCTGTATTTTGTATACTGTATACATCCTATAATGGTGAGGATGAAGAAAAAGGGCCACATAATAAACCTGACAAGTTCAAACGAGGCCTGAGTGGTGGGCCTTACAAACTCAGAGACCTAACCACATAGGATGATCAGAAATTAAAAATTCCAACTAAAGTAAAGCCGTGGCAGGTAGTCACGTCATAGTCTGCTATCTTCCCCGACAAAGGTCAGCCTTTCCTTAACTGAGCCTGTCTGTTGCCTTTTTGCATCTACAGTAACACACCTTTGGGATGTCAGGGCAATTGCCTTTTCCCGGGCCCTCAAGGCACTCGCTCACCAGAGCAGAGACTCCAGAACCCCTCATGGTTATTGTTATCATGTTGATTGTTGACGTTACTATCCTATACCCACCAATGTAAAAGAAGTATGTGTCTATTCACTTTACTTTTTATCCAATCCAAGAGATTTCTTCTCCCTTTTGCTTTCTTCTGCCTCCCTAATCTATCACCAATGGATTTCATGTAACCCCTTTATGCCTCCTCCTTTCGTTGTGATGTATAAAATTAGGTGTAAAACTGCCATTTTCTAGAGCATTTTCTCAATCTGATGCAATTTTTGCTTCCTGGTAATTGTCGTCAGTTTGACTCAAACTCATATAAATTCTCATAGGTTTGGATTAACAAAGGTAAGTAAATTTAACTGTGAGCACAGTGACAATCATTATGGTATTTCGCCATGAATAGTGTGCACTTTTTTTTGCCCAAATTTTTGAGGGAAAATAAGGATGCTCATTACACGTGGTTGTACCTGAAATACTGTGTATCTGTTCTTGTGTTTTGTAGTTATTACATAAAATTTCTTATACCATAATATGATAAAAAATGCTAAAATTCCTTTATCATACAAAAAACAAGTATCTAAATATAAATAAATAAAAAATTGAATAAAAAAATGAGAACAAAAGATTTTCTTCCTGGAAGTTTGGGCCAGAAAATGTGGGTGCACAGTTTATATAGGAGCACATTATACATGCTCAAACAACAGTGGCTACTAATTCAGAATACATTACCTGTTTGAGTTGAATTTCTGAATTAACATGAACATCACAGATTTCACAATGAAATGTTTTGTTCTGTAGTCCTGACCCCTTACTGCCATTATGCATCTTTAATCTTGAGCCAGGTCTAGGATAGGACTTAATTGGACCAGCCCCATTACGAGCTTCAACCATGGTCTTGTGTTTAGATCCTAAAACAGAAAGAGATGTCTATTAAGTAGCTATTTAAGAACTATATGAAGCTCTTTGTTTTCTTATTCTTGAGAAGTATTTTCAGGCTGAATTTCCCAGTGCTTTTATTTTTAATACCACTTTAATTCTTATTATAAATTTAACACATTTTCATTGTAAACAATGGGAAAACAGAAGAGTATAGAATAAAGAGCAGAGAAAGTATAGAGAAGCATAAGAAAATAAAGATTATCCATATTTTCAATGCCCAGACATAATCAAAGTTATCATTTTAGTGCACTTCTTTTTAGGTTCTTTTTTAGTATATAAAAAAATAAGTATAGTCCAGTGTCACCTCAATAAATTCAATAAAAAGAAAAAATAAGTATAGTCAATAATATTGCATGCTGAAAAATGATTATTACTAGAATTAGTGGGTTGATCACATTGTAAGGTATAAAAATGCCAAATCTACATATTGTATGCTTTAGATTAATATAACTTGTATACCAATTACACTTAAATTTAAAAAATCAGCATACAAGTATATTTTTTTCAAAATAGGGATCATACTAATTAAATATTCTGAAAATTTCACATATCAAATTATATATATACTTTCTTGTAATTACATTTTAATGGCTGAGTAATATAACCTATAATATTGGGTTGCTATAATTTATTCAACTGAAGGACTTTTAAGTTGTTTCCATTTTTTTCTCTTGTAAAATATCTGTGAACATTGTGCACAGATATTTGTCTTCATCCCTGTCACTTCCTTATATGAGTTTTCAGAAGTATTAGATATTTTGAGAAAGTAAAGAACAGAACAAATTTTATCTCCAACCTGCTTTTGCCTTGCTGTTTCTAAAGTCATTATGATTATACTTTTTTCAAAATTATACCTTTGAGTCATCAAAGTAGAGACGACATTGAAGAAACCTAATGTTTGAACACCTAATGATGTTCTGATGAGAAAAGTTGGATTTCGTTACAAACATTATTTAAATTCCAACAACAGCGGCTAACCTGTGTTGTGTGCCTCTAGCTGTGACAGGGAGTTCACAGCCACTTTGCATAGAGAACAATAAAGCAATTTTTTGGCTTTTTCATCTTCTGATTCGGAAAGAGAACCAGGAGCTCCATTTGTGCTCTTGGAAGGAGAGGTGTCTGCTCCTGGTGGCAGGGGCGTTGTGCCGGATTTGAGGAGAAATGAGCCACCTTCAGAGCCTGACGGCTGACTGGAACTGTTGACTTTTAGCTTCCCTTTGTCTTCTAAGAGAGACACAGAGATATGGTATTAAAGCCTCATATATAGTATAAACACAGATAAATAGACATAAAAGAATTAAATATAAGAATTTAATTTCTATATTTGGTTTTACCCCATCACAGAGTTTAGTCCATTGAATCCAACTGAAACAGAATTCCATGCCATCAGTTTTCACATCAGGTCACCCCAAGGTCATGATGACTTACAAAAAATAACTTCATTCTCCTGCTTAAAGCAGGTAACTTCCTACCTAACAACCTTGAGTTGTAAATTTTGCTCCAGGAAAGCGTTTAATATATAGGAAAACAAGCTACCCTCCACTATGGTTACATGGTATGATGGTAACATGAAGTAAGTCATTAGGCAATGGTAGTTTCATTCAATTACTCATTCTAATTAGGACATGAATATAAAGTTAAAATTCAATCTTTCACACCAAGTTAAAAATTTTAAATTTGGGGTATGGGGTAGAGAGAAGGGAAGAAACATGGTTTACTTGGATTATGATTAGTCAAGTTTTTGCTGCTCTTTGAATGGAAATGATATTTATCCAAAATACAGGATGCAAAGATTCCATTTTACTTATTAATTACTGCCACTCTGAGTCATACATTTTAAATAATGATATGAATCATAAGCACAATATGAGGATTAGCCAAATAATTTACAGACATGTTGGCATTTTGATCATGTAGCTGCTAAATGCTTATAGTCTTCAGGGCTCATGTGCAGTGCGTATGAAGGCCAGAGTGAGTTTAACTCTTCAGGGGTCATTTGCTATTCAACACAGGCTCTGTTCAGTGGCTCCTTTGGGAAAGAAATTGAAACTTCTTAGGCAACAGTAAAATCCATCAGAGGTTTAATCCTACTACAGCTGGTGCTCTTAGCAAATGTCTGCAGGTATGCTAATAAACTCTCATTAGGAGAGAAGGGAATGAAAACTGAAAATTTATTTGTTCGTTGCCCTAGCTAATTTGGAGCTGTGTACTATGGGCCTGGATGGGCAAGCGGGCGGGTGTGACTAAAGGAATAACAACATGCTAATGTGTCTCTTCTGCATACCAGGCAAAGTGTCATACACATCAAAAATACCATGAGCCCTGTTTCTACTTAATTGAGGGATCAGCAGCTGACTTCCATCCCTTTTTGTGCATAGGATCTATTCAGGTCAGGGATTCTACAGATGAATTCCAGGTCTGGGTGGGAGTTAGAGTACGTGAAGGCTCAGATCCCATATTATCTTTGGGTTCCACAATATTCCTTTCCAGCAACTTTATTAAAACTTCAGAATGCCATGAAGTATGATGGAAAAAATCTTATGTGTTTACTAAACTGATCTCAGTAGTAGGAGAGAAGGAAATAAGATAATCCTTCCTAAATGGTAATAGTAAATAAATTAGATTGCAGATTATTTCAGGCCTGGAACTCTCTCATCTATAAGAAGCTCTGATTAAATTTGAAATTTTATAGAACAAACAAAGTGAAATTATTCAGTAATCTTAATGTTTTCCCTTCTGGAATTACTGTTTCTTGTGGTGGAAACTTAAGTCACTGCACAACAAAACCTCTTCCTCAATCATTTCATAAAGTACTTCACACAAATTTGACCTAAAGAATCTGACCTGTTTTAGTCATTTACTCACTTATTTTATCTCCTTTTCTTATTATTATTTTAATGTCTGTTATATTGATATCCTTCATATATCCATACATTTATGAAGAACTTTATAATTTACAAAGTGCTATTACTTAGGTTATCTTATTATACTTCACAACAAACTTGTGAAATAGGTAAGACTGAAAATGATTATTCCTAAGTACCCATCAGTAAATGAGCGGATCAAAAAACTGTGGTCCATTTACACAATGGACTACTGTGCAGCAGAAAGAAAAAAGGAACTCCTAGCCTTCTCTATAGCATGGATGGAACTGGAGAGCATTACGCTAAGTGAAATAAGCCAGGCAATAAAGACAAATACCATATGAGCTCACCTATAAGTAGAACCTAATCAACAAAACAAGCAAATGAGCAAAATAGAACCAGAGACATGGAAATTAAGAACAAGCTGACAGTAAGCAGAGGAGAGGGGGGAGGGGGATAATTGGAGAAAGAAAGGGAAGTGGCAAAGAACCTGTAAAGGACCCCTGGACAAGGACAATGGGGGTGGGGTGGGGTGGGGGAGAGGACTGAATGGGGGAGGTGGGCGGATGGGTGCGGAAGGGGAGAGCAATGGGGAAAAATGGGGACAGCTGTAATTGAATAACAATTAAAAAAATTGAAAAGAGATGAGGAAACTAAGTCTCACGAAGATTAAATAATGTCCCGTAGGTTAGTAGGTGGCATAAGTGGGCTCAGTGTTTTCTTTAGCTATTCACTGGTGGTAGTGTATTCACCTTCCCGCACAAAGGGAGGACTTCACATAGCATTAATATTATAAAAGGCATACAAGAGTCATGCAGAAATGTAGAAAAGCTGTTGCTTTGTTTAAAAATTACAGTTTAACTTTAAAGCATATTTTCCTTAAATGAAAAAATATATCCTAGTCAATAATTGTCTGATTTAGGTAACTTTGAGAGGATGAACAAAATTATATCCTTTTCTCTGTATCCCTATTTCCTTAAAAAAAAAGTAAATATTTCCTTTTCATATCTCTTTTTCAAAAGTGGTCATTCATTCATTACTAATGCATATTAACAATATGCTAGTTGCTGTCAACATGATAGACGTTGAAGAAAAGAGTAAGGAAAGTAGGTATAGGCTTTAAGAAAGTACAGGTTAGCCTGGGAAATGAGACAGTCATTCAGGGAGCTCTAATTTATGACGGAAACTGGTAAGAGGCATGAGAGCATAGAGTGGGAAATGACTGCATCTGGCTGGGTAAAGGGAGACATTTTTCATAAAGAAAGTGGCATTTTGGCTGGGTTTTGAAGGTCAGATTTAGATAAGGGTAGAATGGGGTGAAAAGGAGTGGGAAGTAAATGGGTATAAGTGGAAACATGAGAAAATGCTTAGGTGTTAAAAAGCCTGGGGTTTGCTTGGCGAATACCTCGTAGGTGAGCATAGATAATGGCAACAGGAGTAATGGGACATATAACTATAAAGATGGATTGGGTCAGAAGGCTAAATCATTATAATAGGTATGAAAGGTAGCCATTTCTGGTTTAAAAGATATGAAGAGGTATGGTGTATATAACATTTATATGCTCTAACATTTAGATAAATTACGTTTTAGTTTTTATCCCCAACATAGGCCAGAGCTTTGAGAATATTAGGGGTATTTTTTTTTGACTTTGGAAATGTGCAAATGGTTCCATCATATTCTGTGAGTTCTGCCATTAGATTGATATTAGGTAGTCAATATGACAGATCCTCAAGTCAAGAAAGTCACGTAGACAATAATATGTTAAATGGTAACATTCTTTCTGGATGTGTAAACTCACAAGCTTCAAAACCTAAATTTGTTATTCCTCATTTTAATTGCTTGATATTTTTATCAAAATCCATTATATTATTTCTCTTTCTTTATTGGCATTTTAAAGCCTCCTTATGCTGTGTATTAGAAAATTTAATTAATGCTCTGTTTTCTTTTGTTTCTTTTAATAAAGATGCATGCCATCCAGAACTTCTAGTTAATATGAATTCCACTTTCAAGTATTCCCTCACCTAATGTTAATTAGCAGGACTTCTTACTGTCTGAATTATTTCCTCATTACTCAAACACCTTTTTTAGGGTTTTATCCTACAGGATTTTGAAGCAAAATTTGCTGAGCCACATCACAATTGCCCTTTGTAACAGATATCTATAATTTATGCAACCAAGTGAATTTAGTTCTGTAAAGCAACTTTCTTGGGAGGTTCCATGTTAATTTACCTATTTTCCAAAGCTCTAAACATTTGAAAACCTCTTTTCTGGGGGGAACTATTTTCATATTCAGTTGATAAACCATGTGAAGGAAATGCCTTCAATATTTTTTACCCCAGAAACTTTACTCAAATTTACCCACTTATTCATCAGACTTAGCACTACATGAATCAAATACAGCCTCAGAGGATTAATATGCGAACACAGAAGAGGAAAAGAACACGCCAGAAGTCCTAAAATATTACACATTGGGCCAATCTGATGCTGGTGGGCCCTCTGCATCCAATGCGACATTGTCATGCCTCACACTAAATTCCAGAAGCTTGGAGCCTTCAAGCACAGTTGGTCTCTGTGAAGCTTGCTCATTCCTGATTAACTACCTTTACGTCTAATTTTTGTATCTTGACTTTTAGACTAATCCTGGAAGTAGTGAAAATTATCTTTAAAGTGACTCTTCATTGAATCAGAATCTGTATGTCTTTCCCTTAAAAAAGCAAAGAAGCTTACTTATTTTAAATAACTTCGGAGCCATGACTAATTTCGTAAGTTCAGAACAGGTCCTGGGCGGTAATTCCCTGCCAGGCTGCCGTCCTGACTTAGGATATCCCTGCTCTTTCCACTTGAAAGCCTATGTCAGTCGGGTTCGGGCCACTGGGATACACCCTGCAGTGATTTTGTGGCCCGGTGATAGGGCCCTCCTTGTCTGAGGTCAGAATAACAACTGCCCTGTTGTCCCTTGTGGCACTTTGCTGGGGAGCAGAAGCTGTCAGTCCCACACTCAGATCAAACAGTGGCACCTCCAGAGAGCTCACGCTGGAAGCTGACAGCCTACACTCTGTATCCATGAGCTGGCACCGATATTAGTGAACTTGTCACTTTTCTAAGGGAGCACAAAAGAGGGCTTGTTTGCCCGAGTTTGAATCTAATGAACAGCTTTCTCCTGTTTTGTGTAGTTTTCCAGCCATTTGACTTGTAAAATAGAGAAGTCACATTTCAATTCCTTCACGTTGAAAAATTGCCCCTTTTTTGATTTGTCACTAAGAAATGTGAAACAGTTATTTCTGAGGCAGCTTTGTTATGGAAAATAGAATAACTAACTCATGTCACTCAAATCAAGTCCCTCAGGGAGTAGGTCCAGT